AAAACCAAATACAAAGATCCAAACAACACATTGAAAAATTCGTTCCGTAGCTTAGTTGGCAAAGCATCTGACACGGTTTGTTAGAAGACGTCGGTTCGAATCCAGCCGGACGAAAGGAATTTTTTCTAGGTGTTCAATCTTCGTATTAATAATTATAACAAATTGGTGAAGTAATTCCCAAAAAAAAATTTTAATCCAATCAAAATTTAAACTTGTTTTAGTTAGTTTAGACTTGCTTGTAAGTCTTTAGAACATTGAAATAAAATTAGAGAAATACCAATGGCTTAATCAGACTTTATAATTATCAAAAGGTCTAGTGTATACAAGATCATCCACATAGTTCCTTTTTTTAAATCTAGTGATGACACGCCTGTCCATAAACTGTTACGCCGCAATGCCGCTCAGAGCTTTAAATTGCAAAGATCTATATATTATATATTAATTTCTACCAAATAAGAAAATAACTGCTCTCTATACGGTGTTATTACTAAGAAATAGGTTTGAATAGAACTTGATATTGTCAGTGGAAAGATAAAAGCACTTTAGAGCCATATTTAGTGGCAATGAGTCACGCATTGGAAAGAAAATTATTGTTTCAGATTTAATCACGTCAATTTGTTTTTTCAAACAAACCATTATTTCAGGCCCTTTACAGACCTCGTGGTCACGGCCGATTGAAACATGGGTTTGTTTGAAGAAAATAAATATATGCAATTTAGTTCTGAAACAATAGTTTCATTTCTAATGTAAAACAATAGTGAAAACCTGAAAAGTCTATGAGTCATAGATAAAATTAGTTTTAATTTTTTTGATACATCAAAAAGTTTCCTAGCAATTAGAACTTTTTTGGCACTCATATAATATAATGTGGTAATTGGACACTTTCTTGTGGTGCCTTCAGCTTAAGAGTCCTTTCCAGACTTTAAAACTTATTCTTGTACCCTATATATGATAATGTAGACCGTAGTTTCCCAAAGTGACCCCCCAGTGGGCGTTGAAGAGTCCTAGGGCGACAGTAAGAGCCTCGGAAGTAATTGGGGGGCATTTTGCACTGGAAATATAAGAGTGTTGACAATGGAGTAACTTCAAAAGCGCATTTATCACTTACTTTTCTGGTAGTTAGAGCAGTCTGCACTCTACTAGACACCGCATCGACTCTAGCTGACATCCGCAAGTAATTCAAAGCCTGGTTCTTTTGCCGGATCGCATTCTCTGCATGTATCCGTGCCCCTTCCATGTTTCCTTTCTGTATTGCCTTTTTGGCCTTTTCTTTTTCCAATTTCTCTTCCTTTTCGCATTTCTTTGAGTTTCGTTCTAGCTCCTTCACCGCAAACTTTAGATTAAATAGATGTTCTGGCATAATGATTTAAGGATTTTTGTGGAAGTATATAGTGCACATTAAAGACTTAAAGAGAATCTAAATCACTTTATTTAATGCATAACACAATAAAAAAAAGTGAAAACCAAATTAATAATAACAAATGGATCTATGATTCAAATACAGAGAACATACCTCATTATGGTGAAGTACAAAAAGGCACCGCCAATAAGCAAAAAGAACCACAGTTCATAATGGTCATGGACACTAAAAATTAACACTCGCACACACTCATGCACACCTGAGAAAAAAAAAAATCTGCAATGTGCAAACCCAGGGTTTGCTAGTCACAATAGTTCTATACTATACATATACAAAACAATCACAAGTAGCATATAACAGAAGTACATACTTTATAATATATTGATAATTTAGTGTTACAATATTTTTACCATACATGATTCTTCACCGTTTCTCTTCTACAGTCTAATAGGTTGATGATTAAAAACCGAGGGTGTAACAGGCATTTATTGACCTTCATTTTAGTCCGCATACACACAGGAATGACTAAACAGTAGGTAATAAACTACGGGTACAAAGAAAACTTTGCGAATTTTAAAAAGGATACTTTCCATTGCAGATGATGACATTTCATTACCCATTTGCAATATTAAAAAAAGTATAAAAGTTTAGGTTCTAAGACCCTAACAGCACCGCGAAAAAGCGAAATTAATAATTACAATCTGCGAGATGACTCACGAATCTACACAAACAGCGATTTCGTCAGAAATACATTGCACCTTCTGTCATTCGTTACTGTCATTGTCACTGTCACTTGAACTATTTGGTTATTAATTTCCTCATCATAGACAAGAAAGTCGGATACACAAATTTAAAGTGCACCATTAATTGGCGAACGCGTGCACAAAGACGGGCACTGGGTTAAAACCCAAGCAATCCGCCCGGGTTTTAACCGGATTTTATACAAAAAGGATTTAACCCATTTTCTCTCAAAATCGTGGGCAGAAACAGCGAATATGAAATTTGGTATGTAACAAATCTTTTTTAGATGAAAAAGAGAACTCCACACAGTACCCACCAAACAATTCTGTGGATTTTCACCTTGGTGGCCTTGGTTCACACGGCATTGTCCTGTACGTTTTTAACGTATTCGATTATAAACAGATAGACAACGGGGTGTTCACACGACATATTTTCATGCGCTTAAAGACGGATAGACGCAGTATTCACACAGCAATCGCCCTGAGAACACGTCTGTGATGGATACACGCTTTGATGCACTTTAATATTGGCATCGAAGACGCCAACGGAAGTGATGAAAAAAATTTTCAATTACTTTCGGATGTTAGTAGATAGTTTTGGCAATTTATTAAAACGTGTGGAGAATTCGAGGTGACCAAAAATAAATACGAATACTTTAATACCAGACGCCTTACAATGTCACTATTCCCTATTGTACATTTCGGATTGTAACTAATAATTTAGTCCCGCTGTGTTTTAGTTCCGATTATCATTCAACATTAGTGAGTTTTGGCGTGCCCACTATATAGAGTTTAAGTCTTCGTTGATATGTCTTGTTGCCATATCTGTATTAGCCGGATCAAAGGATAAATATATTTGTGTGTCGTCGGGCGGCGTAGAGGTGCGTTTTACAGTATTTTATTCGTTGAGGTAAGTCAGCACTTTACACAAGAGTGCAAAAATGATTGGACTTATGATAGAACCCTGTGGCGTGCCTCACTGTTAGTCTTCGATCCTGATTTTAAAATATCGCCTTGTATCGAATAATATCGAAAAACAGTATGTTGAAGTAGAGTCGGAACTCTACTTCAACATACTACTTTCGACCTGTGAGAAATGAGCGGAACCATTCACAGCTTGAACTTGATACAGTCAAAGGCTCTTGAGAAATCCAGCAGTAGGATTATACTGCTCATTCCCCTATCTAAAGTTCATAATATATCAACCGTGACGTGAGCCAATGCAATGTTTGTGCTATGTCCGTTTCTAAATCCTGATTGTATTTCAGGTAAAATGTTCTCTCTTTCTACTAACCCAATCAATTGAGAGCAAATTATTCTTTCTAGTATTTTTTAAAGGACTGGCAAAATGCTGATGGGTCTTAGATCTCTATACTCTTCCACCTTTGCACTTTATGAATAGGTTTTACTTTTGCAATTTTCCACGATTCCGGGAACAAATTACTTTTAATGGATTCGTTGCCTATATGTGTTATAACCGACAAAGTGATCGGTAGACTCATTCGTGTCATATTTATGGAGATTAAATGTATCTATTGTATGCGCCACTGTTAATTCGGTAAGATTTATACTACAAAAAAGTACAATGCCGTGTGCACGGGGAGTAACGATGCAACATAATGATTCGATTCTTATGAAAGTAAATTCAAGTGCATACAATCTAACGATTTTTTGTGTTGATTTATTTCAATGCGGTTTTCAAGCGAATCGATCAATAGAAAGGCAAACAAATCGTCTAAATAAGAAAGCATTAAACGTTTTGTATTAATATCATTAAATTAGAACAAACTCGATTTACTACTAATATTAAGTTGTAGTAATAGTTTTTGTCCTCGATTTCGGGCATTAATGGGTTTTAACCCGACTTTAACCCGGGTTAAACCCCAGGGGCTTGCCCATCTCTAGGCGTACGTGTTGCCATATTCGCTAGCATGTGCGTAATTATGTATGTACATACATTTAAAGTGTATAGTGATACTTAAATTGTTGTCTAAAAAAATAAAACCTTAAAAACTGACCAATTCAAGTCGGACTCGGTGCTTTTATTTTCTAAAGAAAATTTTAATTAATGTCATTTGCACTTTAAATACACATAGGGTTGTATTCTAGAACTCTACTCAATACTCAAGTCAGGACTTGAGTATTGCAGTGAGCACTGAAAATCATGCTCAAGTCCTTGCCATTAGGGTCGTATTTCCAGTGCTTGAAATCATACTCAAGTCTGCTGAAATCCTGACTTGAGCATTGAGTAGAGTTCTGGAATACGACCCTCATTATCTTTATTAGCTTATCGCGTGTGACACTTTGAGTTGTGTTTGTTGAGTTTCGACCGTTCTTATATTTTTAGAGTCAAACCATAAACATGCTCTTCACACTGCACACCCATGGGTGTATTCAAACCTTAGAGGATGGAAAAAATTCAAACATACATATACATAAAAATACAGTATTTAACTTAGTAGCTTAAAGCACCCCGTAAACGATTAAATAATTTGTCAAATTTTACGTGTTTTGTCAAACTTTTGATAGTCTCCGGTCGTCTTAAACTATCGTGTTTGATGCATTTGTCAAATAATATACATGTCTGTCAAACCAAACTTCAGGTGTATGGTTCTGTGCGCAATATTTCTTTTAATAAGTTTTCGTGGATATGTTTTTCTCTTAGTTTCAACCATTCTCTAGACCAACGTATGTTTCTTTTTTCTGAATACACAGTGCTAGAGTTAAGGCCCGAAACGCGTTATCTATTATTTTTACTCATAGCACAAATTACAAAGAAACATGACTCATACTATATGATATATATAGATAGATTATAGTACGGTACGTACGACTGTAGAAAGGAATGACCGAGTGTGAACTACAGGCAAGTTTGTCAAACTTGTTTGATGGTTTATTTGATCGTTTGCGACATTGTTTTTAAAATTATATTAATCAATGTCTTGACATAAGGAAAAAAATTCATTTAGATCTGAAAAAAAAGTTCCATTTTCAATATGTAGCAATCGCGAAAATCAATTATGGAAGAAACTACGATAAGAATCAATTATTATGAAAAGTCAAAACCGTTCAATGAATTATAATATGATTGATACAATACAATGAATGACTAAACAAGAATAGACATAGGCAAGTGCCCGAGTTTTTGCTCTGTGCCTTATTAATTCGCTATTAATTGGTTTAAATCGTGTTAATACCCATCAATGTCCAAAATTGAGGGCAAAAACTGTTTACTACCAAATATTTATTGTAAATCGAGTTTTGTTCAAATTTAATGATATTACAAAATGTGTGTTGGTTTCTGGTCTAGACGATTCGATTTGCATTTTCAATGAATTTCTTCGCTTGAAAGTCGCATTAAAATGAATCGATACAAAAAATCGTTAGATCGTATGCCCTTAAATCGATTTTCGAAAAATAGAATCGTAATATGCATCCTTAATAATGAGAATCCACAGGATGGCAAGGTAGGTGTTGTGAGAAAGTATTGTGAGAAGTTGCCTCTTTTTCATTTAAAAATATTTTTACATCGAAATTTGTAATAAATACGGAATTATACCAAATTCCGTATTCTCTGTTTCCACCCGCCATTTTGGACAGAAATTGTTTAAAGCCAATTGCAATAAAACCCAATTAAAGCCTGAAGGGGTTGATTGGGTTTTAACCCACTGCCCATCTCTGCTCTGATGAAGAATATTTAGTTCTTAGACTATGGAAACTTTTATTTTTACTTTTACTTTTATTTTTTTTCCATCCTCTAAGATTTAGTTCTAAGGGTCGTATTCCAGAACTCTACTCAATGCTCAAGTCAGAACTTGAGTATGATTTAAAGCACTAGAAATCATAATCAAGTCTTTGCCATTAGGGTCGTGTTTCCAGTGCTTGAAATCATACTCAAATCCTGACTTGAGCATTGAGTAGAGTTCTGGAATGCCGTATTCCAGAACTCTACTCCAAACTATGGAATTTATTATAATAATAATATAAGAATAGTTATTGTCTTACATAGATCAAGAAAAACAAAAAACCTTATTAAAAAAATATCATCTGAAGATGCCACACAGACACGATTCACGGGAATTTGTCCATGGATTTCAATATTTTCATGTTGGCAGAAATGTATCAACAAATGTCAAACTCAATCACGTCAAAATTGACTGAAGTGAAAAGTTGATCGCTGCTGAATATTTGGATATTGAATAAAGCGTTGATAATCTACGATATTTATAGGAATCCTTTATGAAAATAGTTTTTAATTGTGTACATATAAATTATAGTGGTAATCTACATTGAATTTTAATATTATTTTTGGTTTCGGTTGAATTCTGTGACAAAGGCCTAAATTGCGAACAGTTTATCGGGGGACATTTGTTGGGCGTAAAAAGAAAATGGCGTGCGCTACTCTGAAAAGGAATTATGAATGGGAATCGATGACCCAAATGCCTGCGAAGAGGCGAAGATGTGCTCCCTTTACCACAGGATCTAGCACAAGTCCTGGAATCAAAATGTCAGAAAACAAGCCTTCGTCGTTCGGAGAGTCCGTTAGTGCATCTGCAAAACTGACCCCAGGTATGTTTATTTTTGTATGTCTTTGTTGATGATTTGTGTACGTAGCATGATTACCTCGAAATTTGATTGAAGGTGTTCACAGTTGATTCGTTCCCTGAGTAGCAAAAGCATAAATTCAATCAGCTGTATTATTTATCGCCATTGTTTGACGAATATTTATATCGTGCTAGAGTGAGACGGATATGAAAACCGTTGGGCGGATTCTTTCTTGTCCTTTTGTTGATTTTTTGCTCATTGCACCCAAGTTTTATTGGTAATTTGGAGAGCTTCAGCTATTGTGGGAGTTGCCATGCTACCTGAGCGTTATTACTGCTGCCTACGTTTTTGCCTATTTTGCAATTCATGACGGTGATGTCAAATGATTGCAGACTCAGGTGAAAAAGAACTTAATAGGCAATAGCAAAATTTACGTAAAGTGTGTCTAGAAAATGCCTATTTTACGGAATGGCAACAATACAGCTGATATTTGTTCATGTAAAGTGTAGAGTCAGCAGTGTAAACACGATGATTGTAAACAGGCTTTGTAAATCAAATTATTCATAAAATGCATTTAATATTTACCTTCATAGTGCTATTATATACAAATACTATGTTGTTATATGAAATGTAACATTTTATTTAGGATGTAATTAAACAAAAAAATTTGATTTTAATAACATTTTAATTTATGCCCATTAGTTTTTATTATAAATAGATCTGTTAATTATAGTTGTCATTCTCAAAATATTTCAAGTTTACTATTCAAATTCAGGCTTTATACTGGCAATAATAAACTTCCTTGAAATTCTTATAGACCATGCCTGATTCTGTCACCCTGCAAACACCTGAATGTATTAAAACTCAAGACAGAATTCCTTTCAATGTCAAGTTTCAGAATAGCATGTTCTTAGTAAACAACAATCAAAATTTTGTAACATAATTTTGAAGGGCTATTGATAGTTAATTGTGCTTACATCATTGACTTACAATTATATGGACGTCGGGTCCGCGCTAAAAA